GGAATGGATGGGGAATGATGCAACCAGGCGTACGGCCCACATGGAGCACTTGGAGTGCAGTCATTAACCTCACATCCAGGGCCGGGGAGCTAAGAAGCGCACCCAGCGAGCCGGATGATCGGCATCGGGCTACGGGCTAGAGGTAGTCGTCACTTTCCTGCCTCACAAGGGCGGGGCTGTCCCGGAAAGTGAGAAACGCCGGGCAGCGTGACGCACAACTTTACCCTCCCATACGTGTTGGGCTCCTCCTTCGCTGTCCCATCTCCTCATTCATCTCTTTCCCACCTAGGCGGGGCGGTGGGGGGGCGGCGGGCGCGGGGTACTGGGTGCGGCGCGGTGCGTGCAATCGTGTGTTTGGCGTCATGTTGTGTGTGCCTTCGCTTGTTTCTATTCACTCGAAGTTTGCTCCAAGTTTAGCTAAAAAAGAAAACTGAAGTCGAGCTGTGTCGGCGGCCCCAGTTTGGCAGCCGCTCAGATCTCTGCATCACGATGCTGCCGCCTGCTCTGATCTTCTGCTTCGGCCTGCCCGGCAGTGGAGGCGCGGCGACGACGCCGGGAGCGGTTTTCTCTCAGGCGACGCACTCAACCTGGGAGAGCTTTCCTTCAGCGGGTCGGTGTACGAGCGATCTCGACGCCTTTGTGTGCCGTGGACCTGCCTCGGACTGCTCCATACAGCGCTGCGTTGACTCTTGCGAAGGAGCTCACCCCACCACGACGAACGTCGAGCACCATTGCGATTCCGAGGGATGCTGGTGCTTCTGCCAGTCTGGCTGCGATTGCCTGCAAAACATGGGCGAAAGCAGCACGTGGGCGCCGGTTGGCACGCTTGTTCTTCCGGAGGCATGCCTCCACCATCGGGGCGACGCGGCAGGACGTCGACGTCGGCTCGACAATACCGACATCGACCCGTCGACACCTCCTGAGCCGTCGCACGAGGAGTGCAAGTGCAGCTGTGCAAACGCGCCACCGCAGATGCCGCAGCCGCCTACCCAACCGCCGCCGCCACCCGCGCCGCCATCCCCGCCGTCACCGCCGTCATCCCCGCCGCTCCTGCCTGGCCTGAGCGTCCAGGTTGACGGCCCGTGCCCGCTCACCGACGGCGGCGCGTGCGCCACCTCGCCACGCTACCCAGACGAGTACGGCCCCGGCGAGCGGTGCGAGTTCACCAATGTGCCGCCCAACCCGTTGGTCTCCCTCGCCTTCGACGTGGAGCCTGGCGCCGATTGCTCCTACGACTACCTCATCGTCAACGGCGTGAAGTACTGCGGCACCTCGGGGCCGAATGGCGCGGTGGCGGAGGACGGCGTCATCGAGTGGTTCTCAGATGGTTCCTCACCAGCGCCGTGCACGACCACAGGCGGCTCAGCTCCGGAGGGCTCAACGTGTGTCTTCCCCTTCACCTACAACGGCGTAACGTACAGCGAGTGCACCACGGTCGCGAACGATGACACGCCATGGTGCTCCATCGAGGCCATCTACTCGTCGCTCTGGGGCAACTGTGTGTGCATCCCCGCTTCGCCCTCGTCGCCGCCTCCCTCGGATGGTGGAGTGTCCGCGGCCGGCTGGAAGATCTGCTGGTCCAACGCGCCTCCGCAGATGCCGCCGCCACCTAGCCAACCGCCGCCGCCACTCGCGCCGCCATCACCGCCATCACCGCCGTCATCCCCGCCGCTTCTGCCTGGCCTGAGCGTCCAGGTCGACGGCCCGTGCCCGCTCACCGACGGCGGCGCGTGCGCCACGTCGTCACGCTACCCGGAGTTGTACGGTCCTGACGAGCGGTGCGAGTTCACCAATGTGCCGCCCAACCCGTTGGTATCCCTCGCCTTCGACGTGCAGGGAGACTATCACCCTGACATCGATCACGACGGGAACGGCGACCCCACAGACGACTGCCGCTTCGACTACCTTTTCGTCAATGGCGTGAGGTACTGCGGCACCTCTGCCCCGACTGGGATCGTGCCCTCGGGTGGCAACATCACCTGGGTCTCGGACGGTTCGGGCTTCGGGGC